GAGGAGGTGTAGATGGAGAAGAGAAGGGGTCCAAGGACAGAAGCTTGAGGGACCCCTACAGAAAGGAGTGAAGAGGAGGGAGGCAGCATTAGAGGTAATGCTGAAGGAGCCCTGCAATAGGTAGGAGGAGAACCAGGAGAGAGCAGAGTCTCGGAGGCCAAGAGAGTGGAGCATATGTTCACTTTCACCCACCACTGCAACCACCAAACAGCTCATGCAAATATATATTTATTTAAATCTTCCACGTAGTGTACCCTGGAGGTTTCCTGATCTTGGGCACACTGTCCACATAGGTCTCTGCTTTAGCTCTGACTTGGAGTTAGGACACCATATAGCATGTTCATAATTTGTTCTGTTGCTGAGTCTTGTACATATCCTGACAAAAATATAATTTCCATAGCAACCACAATGCAGTAAATTTGTTTACATCATAGCACACATTCCTGGGTTTCAATGCTTTCTAGTATGATCTGAAATCCAAAAATCTGCTTTCCAGTTTAGTGCTGGAGCATGTTTGTTAGTGACAACCCACAGCTTTGACTCCTATAACCTTATGTGATCACTGTACTTGCGTGTATCACGTGTATCCTGGCAGTCAATTTTACGTTCTACAGAACATTAAAGTGATACTAAAGGGTCAATTTTTTAAAATAACAAATATGTCATACTTACCTGCTCTGTGCAATGGTTTTGCACAGAGCATCCCTGATCCTCTTCTTCTAAGGGTTCCCTGCCTGCTCTCCTCCCTGCTGAGTGCTCCTAGAGCAAGCTGGTCACTCTGGGGGTATGCGTGTGTGCTCTCTTCACAGCTGCCTGTGTGTGTATAAGACACACACAGCATGATTCGGCCCCCACCGCCCAATCACTCCTTACTGGCTGTACCTCAACCAATGAGAAAGGAGAGAGCTGCTGCTCTCGTGGACATCGTTGGATTGAGATTGGGCTCAGATAAGTTTTAGGGGGGGAGCACTGAGATGCACACTGAAGGGTTTTCACCGTCATCCATAGAATGTATGAAGGTAAAAAAAAAAACCTTAAAGTGTTACTAAACCCACAACAGTAAAATCAGTCTGTATATGTAGTAAAGCATGCTTGTTATACTCACTGTGGAACCTAAGGGGTTAATCCTCTGCATTGTGTAAAAAGGCTTTTTGATCCTTTCTTCTCTGCCCCTTCTCTTGTTGAAATGACCACCTGATACAGACTGAATCCGTAGTCACATTCACATGCTCAATTTGGTGTGTATTGCTAGAGAGGGTTTTTTTTTTTTTTTTTTTACCTTTTGGAGAGTGCATGTGATCAGCACAGGGCCAATCAGCACTGTCCAGACAGAGGGTTAGGGGGTTTCACATCCTCCTAGAGCAGAAAGTAAACTCCTACAAGCTTTAACCAGTGCTCGGCTGAAGTCACAAGACTGCTCTAACCGCTGATGAGAAAAGGTATTTAGCAGTTTATATTTACTAAAATAATTGCATTCCCATGTTGTGTGTACTGTGGGAGACCAGATATAGTGAATGCAGGGTCCTGGGTTTAGTAACTCTTTAAGACTTTAGGACCACTTTAAATGTGCTGTGCTTGAGCTGGGTGGGTGCGGAAAACCTTACTCACCTTTGGGCATGACTGTGGCATACTGCATTTTCTTTAAAATCAGGTTTGTGATCTCACTGACTGAGGCTTTTTTTTTTTTTTTTTAAAGGCATGTCGTGCACCCAACTGTGTCACCTGCACCCTACTGTATGCCTCATAGGAGTGTATGAAAAATTAGGAAGTGTAGAGCTAAAATAAAGCAGCTATGAGTGTAAGAAAGTACAGCCAAAGTTTTACCAAACCTTGTGGGTTTGCTACAGGGTGGATTTGATTTAAATCACTAGTGAAAAGGATCATTTTAAATCATAAGAGCAACTATTATCTCTGTCCTGCAGCAGCGCCTCCTCTGACCCGCTTTTGACTCACCGACAGTCCCATTCACTGTAATGGGATGGCTGGTGATGCGGCAGTGACATAACAAGGTGAGGGACGAGGCGGCAGCAGGTGAGTGGATGCCTGCTCACAGGCGCTGCCATGATGGATCTAAAATGACAGGTGCCTTTAAATGTAAGGAATCTGACTCATGCTTGCTGGTAGTTAGAATCTGTAGTATTTGCAAATCAAATGAAGGTTTCCTTTTTAGAATAAACTGTGCGGTTAGTAAAACAGCGATATCAGAACTGATTTTAGGTTAATAGGTTAATCACACATAGTTGAAGTACTCAGATTCTTTCATTTCATGTTTTTTCTCATGGTTACTGTGAAATTGTGTGAATGCATCAATGCAGTGCATGTTATCTTGGCTTGCAGAGCTTGGATTCATTGGATGAGTTTACCAAAAATGTAAATATTGCAGAATATACAGCCTCATGCTTCATAACTAAGCTCCATTTCACGCTGAATAAACTAAATTACTAATGTATCTTAAATAGAAAACTATCTTTAGATAGATTTTTACTCCAAAACATTTTATTAAAATAAATTTGATTAAAATAGAAAAAACAGATTTAAACTAGAAAATCTACAATTTCTGGGGAAATTGTGTGAAGTGTTCTTGCCTCCAACACTAACCAAGTGATTGATGAAATGTAAACAGTGCACATGGCAAGCTTGAAGAAATGCATTTGAACTTTTATTTTGCAGCTCACACTGTAGCTTTGGTCACTCTGCTTCCTGGTGACTCCCCTTCGGTTGCTATGGCAACTCACTCAGTCAGAACAAGCTGAGAGGGGCTTTTATAAACAAACTGCTCCAACTTGCTCACTTCACTGGCGGTTGCCATCTTCAAACGGTTGTAGTTTTAAAAGTATAAATCCTACAGCAAAGAGCTTTATATTGTGAGACTCACAAGACCCAGACCTACATGTTGATGTATAGTATGTCTCTGAAATATTAAAAATGAAGGCACAGTCGTAGTTTAGAAATGGCCCTTCAAATTTCAGGTGGCTGCGAGTGAAGTTTCAATGAAAGTCAATGGGCGGCGTGAGTTGCAAACAAATGGTCATATTGTGAAAACTATCAAGAGTATGGCTTAGCCGTGAACATTTTTAGTGACAGCCGGGACAGCTGAACGTTTTGATATAAGATTTGTGTAGGTGGGCTTGAAAATGAGGGAGTGATGGCAGTTTAGAAATCATGTCCTGATTTTTCCTTCCACACTCTAGCTTTTGTCAGCTCCCACTCTAGTTGCGCCATTCATTTCTATGGGAAAATTTCACCACAAAAAACGCGATATTTCGTGAACCATTCGGCGAAACGTTCCACAAAGTAACAACGCACCAATCGGGAACAATCCGCACGTTTCCGTATATTACTGTCTATGTAGTGTAAGAACTGTGGGAGGAGTTAGGGTGGCTATAATAATAAGAACCTATATGGGAGATAACAGGGGAGGGGTCTGCAATGCAAAAACACCTAAAAAGAGAGGCAGGGAACAACGCTCAACTTCCAAGTGTTCTGGAATGGGGCTCAGAGAAGTCTGTATTGCCCTCAGTGTCACTGAACTTCTCTGTGACATCCTCTTTGTCAGTATCATTGAACTTCCCCAGAGAGATCCTCATTGTCCGTATCACTGAACTCCCCCTGAGAGATCCTTATGTATCACTCCTGTCAGTAATCACTGAACTTCTTTCAGAGAGATCCTCACATCAGTATCAATGAACTTCCCCTCAGAGGAATCTTCACATCAGTGTCACTGATTCGGCCCCAGAGAGATCCTTCACTTGGTGTCCATTGAGCTTTCCCAACCTCTCCATCTGCTCAGTAAGCTTCGAGTCTTTTTAAACGCGCCCGAACTACCAAAATATCAACCTATGGAGAGTCAAATTTGAATTTAACATTAAAATCTTTCTTTTGGCTTGTATGTTCACTTCCAAATATTTCTGGCTCTATAAACCATCTAAAAACACAAATAATTCAGATTTCATCAATCCTGAGGTGGCAAAACCCATTTCCCAGAATCCTTTGCAAAGATATGCAAATGAGCAGGTTCAGCCAGTAACATTCAAATCATACCTGTGCTGATAACTGTCACCAGTGTGCCTATGGGAGCTTTCAACTGACTTTTCATGCCATAGCTGGACACAGGAGCAGGACCACGGCAACTGCCTGTAAAATGACAGCTTTCTTACCTATAAAGGTTAGGGGGGGGGGGGGGGGGGTATTCTGCTGTAACAAAGCCTTCATTTTTCCTTCATGTAATCCTCCAGCACTTTATGTGGCAATTTAAGTGTCTGCTGCAGCCTCTCCATGTATACAAGTGTAGAATCGAAATTCAAGAAACCTCAAGGTGGTAATGTTGTGTTATTAACCCCTCACCTACCGGGCACTTCTACCCCCTTCCTGCCCCCCGGGCACTTCTACCCCCTTCCTGCCCCCCGGGCACTTCTACCCCCTTCCTGTCCAGGCCAATTTCCAGCTTTCAGCGCTGTTGCACTTTGAATGACAATTGCGCAGTCATACAACACCGTACCCATATGAAATTTTTATCATTTTTTTGTGACAAATAGAGCTTTATTTTGGTGGTATTTAATCACCTCGGGGTTTTTTATTTTTTCTTAAACAAACCAAAAACCACTGAAAATGTTGAGAAAAAAAATGTTTTTTCTTCGTTTTTGTTCTAAAATTTTGTAAATAAGTGATTTTTCTCCTTCACTGATGTGCACTAATGAGGCTGCACTGATAGGCTGCACTGATGGGCACTGATAGGCTGCACTGATGGGCACTGATAGGCTGCACTGATGGGCACTGATAGGCTGCACTGATGGGCACTGATAGGCTGCACTGATGGGCACTGATAGGCTGCACTGATGGGCACTGATAGGCTGCACTGATGGGCACTGATAGGCTGCACTGATGGGCACTGATAGGCTGCACTGATGGGGCTGCACTGATGGGCACTGATGGGCACTGATAGGCTGCACTGATGGGCACTGATAGGCTGCACTGATGGGCACTGATGAGGAGGCACTGGTAGGTGGCACTGATGGGCATTGACAGGCATCACTGATGGGCGCTGATAGGCAGCACTGATAGGCAGCGCTGTTAGGCGGCACTGACTGGCGCTGTTAGGCGGCACTGACTGGCACTGATTGGCATTGACTGGCACTGATGGGTGACACTGAAAGGCAGCTCAGATGGGCACTGATATGTGGCATTGATGTGCACTGGTAGGCACTATGTGGCACTGATGGGCACTGGCAGACACTGACAGGTGGCACTGCTGGGGCTACATTGATCATCAGTGCCCTGATGATCAGTGTACATGTCCCCTCCGAGGAATGCTGATTACCGGCTCTCCTCTCCTCTGTCAGCGTGACAGCTCGAGAGGAGAGAAATGCCGATAACCGGCATTTCCCTGTTTACATGTGATCAGCTGTGATTGGACACAGCTGATCACATGACCGAGCCGACATCTTCGGCTCTTTCCGTGATCGGTGATCCGCTGTGTCCGAAGAACACAGCGCACCGCCGATCGCCACGCTGCGCGCTCCCTGAGCCGCGCATGCGCAGTGAGAATGGGAGGACGTCATCCCAGAACGAGAGAACCACCTTGCACCCCTCATATTACTATATGGCGGGCGGTGGTTAATATGGATTTGGATTTTTTTCCAAATTCTAACCGTTATGCTGGTCATTCACAGTTTGAATTTTGGGAAATTCCTGCTTAATGGGTTGAACTTTGGGATAAGCACACATTTAGATTTACTAAAACTGGCGCACTTACAATCTGGTGGCGCTGTGCATGGCAGCCAATCAGCCAATCAGCTTGTTCAGTTAAGCTTTGACAATAAGGCTCCATGTAGATGGGGAATTTGGAAAACTCTTCTGAACGATGGAAACTGACTGCTGGAAAACGTAGGTTAAAAAACGTCTGTTAGCTGCGTTTGCATACCGCGTTTATGTGCGTTTTTTTTAAGATAACTTCAGGAGACCTTCCAAAATGCCCAGAATGCACTGAAAAATAGTCAAAAATTAACTATTTCAAACATTTTAGGAGAAATAGAGAGAGCAGAAGCAGAGAGTGTGTATGTGTTGAGATGACCTGTCTTTTCTGGTTGTCTTCACTATGGATCCCATCATGAGCATAATGCAGCGCATTCTACCATTTTTTTTTCCTTCACGCAAAACCTGGAACTGACTGCGCTGGTGTACCGAGTCCATTTGAATACATTGAACTGACTGCGCTGGTGTACCGAGTCCATTTGAATACATGGAACTGACTGCGCTGGTGTACCGGGTCCATTTGAATACATGGAAAACACTTTGCATGCATTTCTGATGATGAAAAAAGGCTCTGGGCAGCATCTGGTCATGGAACAGTTAAAAAAAAACGCTTCTAAATGCAAACGCGGTTAAATGCGTTTACATACGTTTACAAGCATTTGGCATTTGAAATGCTGATAAAATCTACTCCTGAACACAAGTTTGGTGCATTCAAAAAAACAACTGTAAACTCAACTGCCTGTAAACAACATAGTGTACATGGACACATAGGAGAACATGAGGGAGAGTTCAGGGGCTGCTGAATAAAATGCAGAAAAGTTCCTAAACGTGAGTTTATCAGCCGCAGTGTACATGAACCCTAAAACCTGGAAGCTGATGGTTACTATGCAGAGCTGCAGCAGATTTTGCACTTTCCAGTTTTAGTAAATAGCCCCATTGTCCACAGGAGCCATGCAATTTGTATTTGAATCTTGGTGTGCGAAGGCCTTTGGTGCGCTCAGAGTAGATTTACATCGTGTATGGCCAGGAATATATTTAAATGAGTTTTTGGTACTTGGAGTTCAGCTTTAGTCCTCCTGCACACGGGATGTTTTTACAGCGGCTGTTTTTGGCATTTGACATTTTTTTCTACAGCCAGTAAACCCCCCGGCATGTTATCCAATGTGTCCATCCCCGGCGTGTTATCCTGTGTGTCCATCCCCGGCGTGTTCTCCTGTGTGTCCATCCCCGGCGTGTTCTCCTGTGTGTCCATCCCCGGCGTGTTCTCCTATGTGTCCATCCCCGGCGTGTTCTCCTATGTGTCCATCCCCGGCGTGTTCTTCTCCTATGTGTCCATCCCCGGCGTGTTCTCCTATGTGTCCATCCACACATACAGTTGTGACCAAAATTATTCAACCCCCACTGAAATTGAGTGTTTTGGCCAGTTTGACATTGCTTTTGATCATTCAGTCATCTTGCTTACATTTACATTAAAGAGGCACTTGTAGGTCAGACAAATATAACATAACAGTTATAATGAAATAACCACAAATGTCTTTTCTGTGCTCACAGCATTATCAGTTTTATTCAACCCCCAAGTGACATTCAATCTTAGTACTTAGTACAGCATCCTTTTACAGTTATAACAGCTTTTAAACGTGAAGCATAGCTTGACACAAGTGTCTTGCAGCGATCTACGGGTATCTTCGCCCATTCTTCATGGGCAAAGGCCTCCAGTTCAGTCACATTCTTAGGCTTGCGCACTGCAACTGCTTTCTTTAAGTCCCACCAGAGGTTCTCAATCGGATTTAAGTCTGGTGACTGCGATGGCCACTCCAAAATGTTCCAGCCTTTCCTCTGCAACCATGCTCTAGTGGACTTGGAGGTATGCTTGGGATCATTGTCCTGTTGAAAGGTCCAACGTCTCCCAAGCCTCAGGTGTGTGACGGACTGCATCACGTTTCCATCCAATATCTCCTGGTACTGAAGAGAATTCATGGTACCTTGCACACGCTGAAGCTTCCCTGTACCTGCAGAAGCAAAACAGCCCCAAAGCATGATTGACCCTCCACCATGCTTCACAGTAGGCAAGGTGTTCTTTTCATCATAGGCCTTGTTCTTCCTCCTCCAAACATAGCGTTGATCCATGGGCCCAAACAGTTCTAATTTTGTTTCATCAGTCCACAGAACACTATCCCACAACTTTTGTGGTTTGTCCACATGGCTTTTGGCATACTGCAGTCGACTCTTCTTATTCTTTGGAGACAGCAAGGGGGTACGCCTGGGAGTTCTGGCACGGAGGCCTTCATTACGCAGTGTGCGTCTTATTGTCTGGGCTGAAACTTCTGTACCCACATCTGACAAATCTTTTCTCAGTTCCTCAGCAGTCACACGGGGACTTCTCTCCACTCTACGCTTCAGGTAGCGCACAGCAGTCGAAGTCAGCATCTTCTTTCTGCCACGACCAGGTAGCGTTTCAACAGTGCCCTTTGCCTTGAATTTGCGAATGATGCTTCCTAAGGTGTCTCTTGGTATGTTTAACATCTTTGCAATCTTCTTATAGCCATTGCCCTTCCTGTGAAGAGAAATCACCTCTTCTCTTGTCTTCCTGGACCATTCTCTTGCCTTCACCATGTTTGTAACCACACCAGTAAATGTCTAGAAGGAGCTGAGTATCACAGTCATTTTAAAGCTGCCTAATTGGTGCTTTTATGCTTGATTGCTGCTCGGTGACATCCACAGGTGTTTTCAATACCTGATGGAAAGCACCTGTATGAACCTCTGTTCTTCAGAGTGGTAGTCTTTAAGGGGTTGAATAATTGTGGCAATGAAGAAACCACATAAGAACCATTTACTACTGTATTACATAAACAATTGATGTCATTTTAGTTGCATTTGGGTAGTTACAACGTCCTTGTAGGATTTGATTCTGAATACAATTCCAAATGTACACTATAGTCCCTAAACCCCTTTACAGCATTGGGGGTTGAATAATTTTGGTCACAACTGTAGACTGTAATAAACGTTTTGTTTTGGCTGGAAAAAAAACCCAGGACTAGTGGGTTTCTAGAGAAGATTTTTAGCTGTAAAAATGCTCTAAATGCTGAAAAATGTGGCAAAACGCGGTAAAACTGCCGCAAACTGGTGTTTTTTGGACTTTTTTGACCCCCCCAAATTTTTTTTTTTTTAAAATGCAAATGTGGCAAAACTCCGCTAAATGCTAATGCAAAAATGCTTAAAAAAGCTACAACTGGAGTGGGCGGAGTAACTGGGTGGAGTGGGCGGAGTAACTGGGGTGGAGTGGGCGGAGTAACTGGGTGGAGTGGGCGGAGTAACTGGGTGGAGTGGGCGGAGTAACTGGGTGGAGTGGGCGGAGTAACTGGGTGGAGTGGGCGGAGTGGCTGGAGTAACTGTTGTGTGGCTGGAGTGGCTGGAGTAACTGTTGTGTGGCTGGCTGGAGTAACTGTTGTGTGGCTGGAGTAACTGTTGTGTGGCTGGAGTAACTGTTGTGTGGCTGGAGTAACTGTTGTGTGGCTGGAGTGGGCTGGAGTAACTGTTGTGTGGCTGGAGTGGGCGGAGTAACTGTTGTGTGGTTGGAGTGGGCGGAGTAACTGTTGTGTGGTTGGAGTGGGCGGAGTAACTGTTGTGTGGTTGGAGTGGGCGGAGTAACTGTTGTGTGGTTGGAGTGGGCGGAGTAACTGTTGTGTGGTTGGAGTGGGCGGAGTAACTGTTGTGTGGTTGGAGTGGGCGGAGTAACTGTTGTGTGGTTGGAGTGGGCGGAGTAACTGTTGTGTGGTTGGAGTGGGCGGAGTAACTGTTGTGTGGTTGGAGTGGGCGGGGCGGAGTAACTGGGTGGAGTGGGCGGAGTAACTGGGTTGGGCGGAGTAACTGGAGTGGGCGGAGTAACTGTTGTGTGGGCGGAGTAACTGGAGTAACTGTTGTGTGGCTGGAGTAACTGTTGTGTGTGGCTGGAGTAACTGTTGTGTGGCTGGAGTAACTGTTGTGTGGCTGGAGTAACTGTTGTGTGGCTGGAGTGGGCGGAGTAACTGTTGTGTGGTTGGAGTGGGCGGAGTAACTGTTGTGTGGTTGGAGTGGGCGGAGTAACTGTTGTGTGGTTGGAGTGGGCGGAGTAACTGTTGTGTGGTTGGAGTGGGCGGAGTAACTGTTGTGTGGTTGGAGTGGGGGCGGAGTAACTGTTGTGTGGTTGGAGTGGGCGGAGTAACTGTTGTGTGGTTGGAGTAACTGTGGAAAGGTTGGACTGGGCAGAGTAACTTTATGAAGTGGGCGGAGTAACTGTGTGGAGTGGGCGGAGTGAGTAAAGATAGTGAACATTACACTAACCAATTGATCAAATTTAAAAAGTGCCCATGGCAAGCTTGATAGAGTGAGAAATGCATTTCAACTTTTATTTTTCAGCTCACACTCTCGCTTTTGTCACTCTGCTGCCTGATCACACACCTGGGTTCCTATGCAACTCACTCTACAGCAAGGGCAGAGAAGAGCGGTTAAAAACAAACTGCTCCAACTTGCTCACTTCACTGGCGGTTGCCATCTTCAAACGGTTGTAGTTTAAAAAATATAAATCCTACACTGAAGAGCTTTAAATTGTGAGAATCACAAGACCCAGACCTACATTTTGATGTATGTGTGTATGTCTCTGAAATATTAAAAATGAAGGCACAGTCGCAGTTTAGAAT